AAACATACTCCTGGAACCCAGTTGTGGAGAGGGAGGAGGGATGAACAAAGGAGCCAAGATACAAAAAGGAGGGCCTAGGCCCTCCCCTGAATGATATGATGGACTTTGAAGGTCCCCTGTGAAGGGCCTCACTATCTCTGGGGAGAAGCTGGGGAGTGGGTTGGGGAGTTGGTGGGGAACATGGGAGGATGGATATGTAAATATGAGTAGCAATTAAAGAATTTAAGTAAAAATATACATAAAAAGACAATTCTCAATAGATGAATCTAAATGACTGAAAGACACTTAAGAAAGTGCTCAAATTCCTCAGCCATTAGGGAGATGCATATCAAAACTACTCTGAGATACCATCTCACTCTTGTGAGAATCGCTAAAATAAAAGCAACAATGAAGTTTATGCTAGATAGGAAGTGGAGAAAGGGGAACACTCCTCCACTGCTGATGGGACTGCAAGCTCATATAGCTACTTTAGTAATCAGTATGGCAGTTCCTCAGGAAAATGGGACTCAGTCTACACAAGAAATTCCATTCTTAGGCATATACCCAAAAGAAGCACATTCATGCAACAAGGACATCTGTTCAGCCATGTTCATAGCAGCACTATTTGTAATAGCCAGAACCTGGAAGCAGCCTAGATGCCCCTCAACTGAAGAATGGATGGAGAAAATGTGGTACATTTACACAATGGAGTACTACTCAGTGGATAAAAACAATGGAATCTTGAAATTGGCAGGTGAATGGATGGAACTAGATGAAACCATCCTGAGTGAGATAACCCAGTCACCAAAAGACAAAAATGGTATATACTCACTCATATATGGAGTTTAGACCTGTAGCAAAGGAGCAGATGCCTACAATCCACACCTCCAGAGAAGCTAGGAAATAAGGAGGATGCTAAGAAAGACATATATGGTCCCCCGGAGAAGGGGGCATGGACAAGATCTTTTGAGCTAATTGGGAGCATGGGGGAGGTGGAGGGAGTTAGAAGAAAGAGATGGGGAGATGAGGAGGGGAGAGGAGTACAGGAGAGAACAGGAAGATGGAGTCAGGGGAAGAATAGAAGAGGGTAAGAAAAGAGATACCATAATACAGGGAGCCATTATAGGTTTAAAGAGAAATCTGGCACTAGGGAAATGTCCAGACATCTACATCTTGCCTTGGTCATTGTATCTCTTCAAAGTAATAGAAAAGTGAATAAATTCCATTCTGTGCCACATTCTCTGTATGTTCCTTTCCTGTGTTTTAAATATTTTTCATATTCTTTGTTTACTTTATCTAGTTCCTGTTGTTTTTACCTTTGAATCCTAATATTCTGTCTTCTGCTTCATTCACCCTACTTATAAGGTTTGTTTTGAGTTTTCTAATTGGGTTCTTCAACTCCATCTTCTTTGCAGAATAATATTCTTAAATGTTTCTATCTTTATTAACTTCTGTTTCAAGTTCTAAATTTCCTGCATCATTTTCATGATTTTGGTGTTTCCATGGGCATCATCAGGTGTTTATCATCTTTATCTTTATAAATATTATATATTTAAATTCTTTGAAATATTTTAGTTATTTTTTTTACAATATGCTTGTCTTGTATATTTTACCAACTCCTTCTACATCTTTCACAGCTCCTTAGTCACCCATCTTTTTTTCCATTTCTGCTACTATTTTTGCCTCTAGCTTTTCCTTTCCTTCTTCCTCTCCCACCATCCAAAACCCCCCCAAAACAAAAACTGCACAAAAAATACAGAAAGAAACTTCACAACATATAATCCAAAAACAAAAGACAGCTAAAACAAAGCAAAACGTCCACAAAACACTATTGAGTTCATTTGATGTTGTCCACGTATGTGTAGATATGAAGTCTGCCTAACCCAAAGTACTATGATTAATACACCCAGTGACATTCAATTGGAGCAATTTTATTTTTCTTTTGTCGGGAGGTATTTGTTCCAAATACCTTTTTGCTGTGGATAGAACTCCATGTCCACTTTTCTTTCCTAGTACTGAGACACTGACATGACTGAGACAAGATATGCATGTCTTGTGCATGTTGATACAGTCTCTGTCAATACATATGTGCATCACTTCTCTTGTGTCTAGATGACACAGTTTCTTTGGAAGCAACCATGGCTCTTGCAATCTTTCTCCTTCATTTTCTGCATCAATACTTGAGCCTTGAGTAGAAGGATTTGATGAAAACCTACTATTTATAACTTCATTTTCCAATGTCTCTCAGTCTCTGCACATTCTCCAATTGTAGCTCTCTGTGTTAATTCTGGCAAATTGCAATAAGATGTTTCTCTGATGGCTGAGTGATGCATTGTGTCCTTATAGTCACAGGTAAGTGTAGTCTTCACCCTTCACCAAGCAAATTTCTTTTTGAAACAGAGACCATTAAAGATCTCTACCATTCAAAATCCAAAGGTGTAAAGCCCAGTCCCAAAGGAAATATCTACAATACAACTCCTGAGCCTAAGATGTATAAAGTCAGAACTGGAGGTGGAAGGAGTGTAAAAGCCAGAGGATCAGGGAGTTTGCTGTGAGATTGTTAAGTTCATGTTTAAGCTGTCATGCTGGTGAGACTTCATGGGTGTAGCATCTGACATGACTAGGAACTTAACAAGGACAACATGAATACTGATCTCAGGAGAAATACACTTTCCAGAGAAGAACAGAACAGTTGGTTATCCAATATCAAATTTTATCCCTGAAAATAAATATACAAGCAGTATTATTCATATTGAGTAGGTTGTACTTACATAGTTAGTAGTGTATATGCATATACATATACATGAACAAATATGTATTTGTCAACCACTAGTGATAAAAGAAGCCACAAATGTCAAGAATAGCAATGAAGAATGCAAGAGGTTTTGGAAGGAGAAAAATAAGTGGGACATGGTATATTCATACTATAATATTGAAGATAAAAAGGAAATTGTAGGAAAATTATTTTTAATAAAAAACTGAATTAATAAAAAGTTCTATACCAAAGGGATCATACATAAAATGTTTTTAAGAGACAGCTATGAAACAACTAGGAGATATTATCATTGAAGATTTTTATCTTAGCATAGACAAAGATTTATGAGAGACATTGCTTGTAGTATGTCAAGGTCCTGAAAACGAGACCACAAAAAATTAGGAACTCCTGGTTTTCAGTTACATTGACTGGACATCATAGAGAAGATAAGGTAATATGGATAATAAGAATATAACAGTGTGGTGAACATCACTACACATCTGCAAAATGCAAGCTTGAACAGACCATAATGTATATGCCACAAGATTATCTTTATATTGCTAATGTGGATATTCAATGTTACACACTTTGCAGCATAGTTTTATAACTTCCGTAACATCCAACATGTGTGTCTAATATGAACTATCCACCCACTCCACTACTCAAAAGGAATAAAAAGCAGGTGCCACACCAGAGAATGCTTAGGCCAAATTATCTGAATTTACAGAAATCCAAATGTTCACTATCAAGTGTGTGCATATATGGATGTTAGTACAACCATTGACCAAAAGACACTGTGCAGGAATAGTATAAAAGACAGTTGCACAAATACCTTGGAGGGAGGGAATACAATGAATAAGGTAGCATAGAAATAGCAGGTTGTATTAGGTTAAGCCACAGCACCAGGGAACTCTATATTCTCTCAGTGTTAATGATTGCTTTCAAGATTTGTTCATTAACTTGCATACCTTCATGAATTCAACATTCAGGACAAGCTAATTCTGATCACTTTGGCCATTTTTAAAAACAGGTTTGCTTCTAACAACAAAGCCAGTAATTCAAGCTACTCACTACTTTCTGTTTCCATGAGAGTCTTAAAAGTAGATTTTTGTGGTGTTCTTTTAATGCTGACCTCTCTCTATTCAAAGCTGGCAGCCTCCCTTCTAGTCTGCTGCCTCCCAGCCTTGACTCTGTAAGTGTGTCTAAGTGATTATGAATAGGAAAGGAAGAGGATTTCTGTGATTACTGGACTATGCATTCGTTCATTTCTGAAGCATTGAGTCAGCTTCATGACTCGTCGTATACTGGATACTCTACTACTGAACCTACCAGCCACACATCCACCTAATTTTCCTACACTTCTCCCGGGCACAGGACAGCCCCGGCCCATGATTGCCACCAGACAATGTGGCCCCCATGCCTCCGGATGGTGGCAGAGGTGGCAGTTTTAGCCAAGGATGCAGACAAATTAACCCTGGGTCAGCCACTCACAGTGGTAGCCCCTCATGCAATCGAGGCAGCCTAGCCTGGTTTTGTGCCAGAAAATGATTCTGTTTTGCAAGAATAGTTAAAACATTTTAACATATTAAGAGTGATGCATGTTTAGAGTGTGAGGGATGGCTATAAATAAAAGTGCACGTTAAGAGCAATGAGTGAATTAAGCTCTTGGATCAATAGGACATTATTCTATGAATTAAGTTAAACTCTTATGGAAGTCTATCAAACTATTAGGTACTGAGATATATTTAAAAGGTCTATTTAAATATTAAGACACACTAGATAATGGAGAGAGGGTTCAGCAATTACAAACAGTTGTTCTTCCAGAGGACCAGGGTTCAGTTCTCAGCACCCATATGGCAATTATAACCATCTGAAAATCCAGTTCTAGGACCTTGACACCCACTTGTGTTCTCTGAAGCTATTCTATGCACAAGCATAAAAACAGAAAAACACATAAAATAATTTGTAACTTAAGATATAATAAAGTATCTCATAAAAATACTATGTCTAGATCCTCAGAATTGTACACAAATCAATATAACTATTTTGGCAAAAATGGTTTTTGTCTTAGATTACATATCTTTAAAACCTATTCTGTATGTATTCAGTGAAGCAGATATATTAAAATAATGTTATGAATTAATTTCCCCTGAAGATAGCATATAGTATTAATTATTTCTGTAGAAGAATCAGGTGGCACTAAGATTACTTTCTATAAAAGTATGAAAAAGTATGATTCAGTGTTTAACATATTACTTGATCTTACCTGCTGGTTCACAGGGAAGTTTCTGTTGATTTTTTTGATCTGCAATGATAAGTTAACCAATAAATCAGTGACAATAAAAGGATGAAAAATGCCCCTGAATATACCTAATGTTCTATTTTTAAAAGTTATTTTATATGATGCAGGTGTGGTGGTACAGACCTTTAATTTCAGCATTGACAAGGCAGAGGCAGGCTAATCTCTGTGAGGTAAAGGCTAGCCTGCTTTGTGCAATGAGTTCCATGGTAGCCAAGGATACATAGTTAGAACCTGTCTCAAAAACATGTCTGAGAGTGGGTTATGCTATACTAAAATGATATTTCAACATCCTAAAACTGTTACACATAAACCCATTTTAATTGGAGATCATGAAAAATTTCATATGTAATGATTTTGAAAAAATGACTAGTAATTTTTCATTTATAAGTAATGAATATATAACTTCCATGATTTAAAAGAGCATCTTTCATGAATCTAAAGAAAGTAGGCTTACTGTTTAACATCATACTACCAAATCATAGAGTATCAAATTTCTTTACTGTTCAAGAGAACATAGGAGGTATAGTATAATATACACATTTTCAATCAGCATCTAAACACAGAGTATTTTTTTAAATTAATGAATTATATTGTTTAAGAATTTAAAATTTCCATAAACATCTCCTTTGAGGTAATTCATGGAAATAAACTTGAAAAAAACAAATGAAAGCAGATGTTCATAGAAAATAAACAAATGCAACAGTAGGCAGACTAACTAAATCCATTATTCTTCATCAGGTTTATGGAGAAATTTAAGCACAAGGTTTAAGTCGTATAAACTTAGATCAATCTAAATAAAGATTATTTATATGATAAATTAGGCAATTGATAAGTTTTTTTCTTTTTAAACTTTCTTTAATTATCTGAAGAACATGAAATGGGCAATTAGAAGCCTATTGGCACAAAGTTTAAAAATTGTCAAAATCACCAGTACAAATTGACTTTCTAAGTATTTGTACTTATTTCAAATTAAAACTGAAGGAAAATTTACGGAGGGATATGTTTTGAGAGATTTTGAGAATTTTTATTAAGAAAACCTGTTCTTCCTCCGCTGTTGCAATTTTACCCTGATCAATTGCCCTCACCTCACACATAGTGTTATCTAATACATATTCCCAAACTTAATATTTTCCCCACAATGATTACAAGTTAAAAATGTAGAAAGTTCTGACTGGTAAACATCACATATTTATCCACCAGGAATTTCATCAAACTTCAGTAAAACTATACCTTGAAGTATTTCCTTTTTAGAAATAATTATAGAAATGGACTAATATTTTATGTGGAGCTTCTTTATCTTTAATAGTGTACTATTAAATTTATAACTTCACTAAGTCTGAGCAATAATCTGAGACCTTATTTGGAAACAAGTATAGGCCATGTATACAGGAACTACAAGGCAGGAATCAGTGATTATATAGCATGTGGCAGGTTGCTGCATCCCAGGACTTGTATATATTATTCACATAAACCTAGCTCCAAACACCACCCCCACTCACACATAGTTATTCATTCATACACACCTACACTCATAGAGAACCTTATATAATGTTAACTCAATTGAGAGATAAAAAAACATTTGATCAGATTTAACATCTATTTATGGTAAAAAAAAAAAAAGCACCTTTAAGATTAGTGAGAAAAAGGATCTTCATAATCAATAAATTGATAGATGAGAAATTCTTAACGAAACATCATACTTAATAAAGACTGAACCTTTTCACTATAATAGGAACTAAGACAATAGAAAGTTAGTTAAAGAGATTCTACTATAATGTAATAAAGGTAAATAAGTTACTTAGAGAGTATCGTAAAGAAAGGAAATACAAAATGCAGCTACTAAATGTCACCAAAATAAATTAAAGAAAATGTGAAGAAATGTGAAACCATACTTTGATAATGGATTTTATGACTCCCTATTTCAGGATCAGTATCTTATTAATTATATGGATTCATTGAAATTCTATTATATAGTTTGTTTTCTCTTGGAAGACGAGAGAAAATCTTTGCCAGGTTGGATTTGGGTCAGAAGTGTAGAAAATCCTAGAGCAAAGTCTGGCTATGATCCTCCGCACTGGAAAAAGCACAAAAGAAAAATGTCCTTAAATTCACAGGGAATCTTAAATGGCCACAATCACATGAATAATTTGAAAAAAAAGAATAAATTTACATTTTATTTAAGTTCTTCCAGTAATGTTTGACAGCTTACATTTTATTATGGTTTATTTGCTTTTTGATAAGGTACCCTCTAATAGTTAATGGTATGATAGGTGAAATTGCTCTTCATTTTCCCTTTCCAAAAGAATCCCAGGAACTGATTTTAAGTTTGCTACAAAGTGTTAACAAAGCCCCTGGATATGGGCATGTAGGTGAATGGAGAATGGTCTAGCTACCCTCTGAAATCCATGAAGCAACTATCTTCAGAAAGTTGAGTTCATTCATGCATATTGAAAACTGGAGAATGAATTTGGATCATCCATTTTCTATGCAAAAATCAGATAAAAATGAATTCCAACCTTAAATATAAATACCCAATCTAAAAAATTATTTTACAATAAATATAATTGAGATCTTGCAGGTAAGAGAAAAATTATAGGGAAGCATGTTGATGATAACTTACCAAATAAATAAAACTATTAATCCACAGATGTAAGGGTAACCATTCTGCAGCTTCCCATAGTGAAAGTGCAGAAAATCTCAGCTACATAAAGGCCTGCATTCACACAGAAGTTCCAAAGAAACAAAATATTGAATGTATCCTAATTCACTAATATTTGAATTTCCAAACTTTGCACATAACTGAGGTTGATGTGTGGGACTGAATGGTCTTTATGGACCTAATCTACAAGATGTATTTATTCATGAACATTACAAAGATGATAATTGAGGAAAAACATTACTCTAAGTCTCATAAGAATGTATGCCCAATGTTTTTTTTACAATATAGTTGCATCACTTCCCTTTCCTTCTCATCTTAACAACCTCAGATTCATGTTCTCTGATTCCTTATTGTTACACACATACAGAAACACCTAAAAACAACAAACATTCTGAGTGTTTTTAGTACTGACTCTGTGCAATGATTTTAGGATGCTTATTTCTTGGAAAGACTAATTCTCTCTCTCAATAGTCATTAATTATCTGTAGTATATCTAGACATGGGGTTCTATAGGATTACATTAATATTAATTGGTATCACTATTTGGGTCTTGTTTATGAAGCATTGTTATTAAGATTTTATGAGTGTGACTTTTCTGTCATATGCGGGAGCACAATCTAATGGAAAACATTATGTTCCTCTGACTCTTTGAAATCTTTCTATGCACTTTTTCACAATGTTGCCTGAACCTTAAAAGGTGCAGTATGTAGATTTACCAATTGTAATTGGGTCATGGTCAGTTGTCCTCTGCAACTTGGTTTTCTGTGGTAGTTTTTTGCTGTATTAAACAGCTTCTATGGTACAGACTAAGACATGTTAGGACATGGAGATAACATCACTCCAGACAGGAATTTATATGATCATCACTTATATCACTCTGCAGGCTCTTTTTGATGTGCTATAGCTATAGCTTCAGCTAACCCAAGTGAAGGGAAGAACAGAAAAAAAATGATTGGAATTTGCTTTTGCTTTAAGAGACCATAGTTAAACTCAGAATTCTTCCAGTGATTCCTTATGTTAAAAAGTCATAAAAACACTCAGGTCTTCATAAAAAAAATGTTTAAATCCCTACAAGTTGTAGAAGTATTAATCCCCAAATGCTCCTCTGGTGGGATCTGTGGTGTAATGCTTTCTCATACAGAAGCAGGTATTATAGATTTTGAGAGATGTCCATGTAGTCAAGGTGTCGCTTTTATCAAATCTCACAAAGATGGTGTCAAACTTCACTGCTGCTACTCTTGACTACTTTCTTGACTGTTGTCTGTGAAATTTCACTTCTAGACACTACTGCAGTTTTTCTTTTTTCAAACCTAGACTTTGTGAAAGGTTTCATTAGATAGTAAGAAACCAAGAAATTCCACTTTTAATGTCTGTGAATGTTAGATATATTAACAACTATATTTGACAGCATTGTTGTGTAACATTCTCCTCAAGATGTGAGACACATATATGTGTATATGTATTCTTATATTAACAAGTCACTGATTTTTAAAAGGCAATAATCTGTGAACTAAAATTTGTCACATACATGAAGTACCTTATTTTAATAACATTATATCCATGTAAAGAATGCAAGGACAACATTATTTCTGTTTTAAAAGCTGAAATTCATGTGAATTGTTTAGTTGGCAGTGTCTTACTGCATGTCAAAACTGGTGTAATCATTGAAAGAACCATGTTTTCTCATTAAAAATTGGTTTATACATAAGATACATAATTAACTTTTCATGAAGATTAACTTAGGGCATGTTTTCATAATAAGGAATAGTAGTGAATAAAGTTTAAAGTTTAACTATGTCTTTGGTAGTGTTTGTTATTTAATGTTATAAAGTCATTACAGACTCACAAAATATGTCATAATATAGGAGAATCAAACAAGGTTTCACAGCTAGAAGAAGAGCTACTCATAATTAACAGCTGCATACAGAGAAAGAATCAGTATTTCCTCAAGTGATCAGCCTTAAATGCATATACACATGATTAATTCTAAATGGTTTCAACGAGTCACAATTAAAATACAAATAATGTTGCTATGAACATGGTTGAACAGATGTCCTTGTTGTATGAATGTGCATCTGTTGGGTATATGCCTAAGAGTGGAATTGCTAGATCTTGAGGTAAACTGGTTCCTAACTGGAGAAAACACCATGCTGATTTCCAAAGTGCTGTACAAGTTGGCACTCCCACCAGCAATGGAGGAGTGTTCCCCTTTCTCCACATCCTCTCCAGCACCAACTGTCCTTGGTGTTTTTTATTTTAGCCATTCTGACAGGTGTAAGATGATATCTCAGAGATATTTAATTTGCATTTCCCTGATGACTAAGGAATTTGAGCACTTTCTTAC